CGCTACTTGTGGTATGACTTAGACACGGGAAGAAGTTTTCTCGATCTGGATGAGAACACAGGACTCATAAGCAACAAAGATGAAGACATGATAATMGCTTGAACCTATACAACTTCCTGAAGTGTTCACTCCATGGTGGTAAAACTAATGGTCCTGCATTTCAAAACAGCAACGTACAACAAAATTGCACCAGATAGAACTAGAAACTTTGAAAACGTGTTTGACCATATGGGATATTACTATATCAATGAACAATAAAATTGTTATATGCTCTGCCCAGGRAAAAAACCGTGTCACAATTCGAATGGGTGTCTACCCATTTGTTACCTTATGGTCCCAGCTTTAAAAGCAGATACTTATTCGGGATTTGAACAACTGAGTAAACGACACACGACCACATTGCGACTCTCATTACAGAATCATACTCGCTCTGCACGGGCCAGTTGTTTGTCTTACATGTACACATCGTTATGGCATGGGTGTGTTGTCGGACAAASTCACTTTCAATATTTGGGATCAGTTTTTGCGATTAGATCAAGCAATGAAATAGTATAGAAGTAGTTCTCATATTGATTGGGTTTGTTGGTAGTTTCACTTCAAATCATGAGAACTGTAGTCCATATAGTTAGACTCTGAATATTAATCTGTAATCTTTAGCCGAKTTTCTTTCAAATATAGAACTTAATCTATACCACTTTCTAGTTGTCAATTCAAGTAGTAAATTTAGYTACAAATTCAAATATTCAGTGTCGTGACAAACATCTTCACCGCCATTTGATTATGCAACCGTGGAAACCGAGTAGTCCGTTTTTTGTCAGTCACGACCACAACGGAAAGCGGCTGTCTAGTCTCAAGGACAGTTTTTATTTTAGTCGCTAGAAACACAACAAAAATCTGCAGAAAAAAAATGATGCTTTGGCCTTACATCAWRGGAGCTTTTTTTCAACGTTCTCTCTTTGTTTTTTTGTTGTCGGACTAAAACAAGTGGGAAAAACTCAGCAAGATSAAATTTCTTATTKTTATCCAAKCCTTGTATTCTTTCGTCGTTTTTGCATGTAGTTTTGCTATGGAAGTTGTAAATTTCTTAGCAGAAAAATTCTGCATTTTACTTCCCACGATCTTTGTGTTCATCTTATTGTTTACTTGGTTTAACCTCGCCGTTTTGTTGGTAGTAAAGCATGCTCAACTCACATCCACGTGGAGTCTTCGCTTGAATACGGGTTGCTTGGTAATCTTTACAGAATTAATCATGTGCACAGCCGTAGAGTTTCAAATTTTGTACTCTTAAGGAAAAGGGTCCCCGATTGTCTTTTAYGACGACGAAGTTTGCCCAAGTTGTTGTGCTCAAACGACCAAGGAACAACTGCCATGGGGTATGAAGATTAATGTTATCTCATATCCCTTCWKGTATGTCTACGTGAATTTTGGAATCGTTGGTATCCTCATCGTCAACCGATTTATGGCGATCATGATGCATAATATATGTTACAAAGAAGCAAACGGCGAGTTAAAGCCACGGCAAAAGTTGCTACCTTACCCCAAACAGGTTATGGATGCCCTGTGCAAAAATCAATCAATCTCGTCAATGTCTTCTTCATGCTATTGTCCGTTCGCTTAGAGAACAACGAAGAAAGTTTGAACTTATTAAACTCGATTTTCCATACAATGCGATTGGTTTGCATTTTTGTGGCGTGTTAGTGCTCTCTATTTACTGGATGAATTTACCCCAGTCAAAAGTTCTCTCCATCCGGGATGTGAAGATAGGACTGTTAAGCAACAAAGATGAACACATTATAATGGTCTAAACCTATTGTAACACTTCTGATCTTGGGGCATTCATTACATGGGTTGAAAGGGTTGGAACTGACATTCCAAAACGACTGAAGCTAACAATGCTTGTACCATTCACTAAAAGAAAACTGTGCGGTTGAAAAAATAGTCTGGCATTGCAAAATGAGCACCGCACAATGAAGTTATATAGCATTTATCATTGTTAACTCATTGAAACTTCATTTCGATCTTAAAACAAAGTTTTTTGTA